CACATTGATATTTAGGTCCCACCCTACAGCGTCTGTTTGAGGTGCAAGAATTCTGTATTTTTTTTTTTCTTGAGATAGAGTCTCGCTCTGTTGCCAGGCACCAGGCTGGAGTGCAGTGGTGTGATCTCAGCTCACTGCAACCTCTGCTTTCCGGGTTCAATCAATTCTCCTGCCTCAGCTTCCTGAGTAGCTGGGACTACAGGTGTGTGCCACCATGCCCAGTTAATTTTTGTATTTTTAGTAGAGACGGGGTTTCACTGTGCTGCCAGGATGGTCTCGATCTCTTGACCTCGCGATCCGCCCGCCTCAGCCTCCCAAAGTACTGGGATTACAGGTGTGAGCAACCACACCCAGCCAAGAATTCTGCATTTTTGCCATTTTCTTGGATGACTCTCAGGCAAGTGGCAATAGCCAGCATTCTGAGGGATGTGGGGATAGGGGGTTAGTGTCCCTCACAGAGCGAAACCCCCATTCCCCCAAACACGCACAAAACATGGGCTTCCAGACCAGCAGAGTGAATCCTGGCCCTGCTATTACTTGGTGTTCATCTTTACCACTTTGGGACTTGTTCCCTTATTATTTTTATTTTTTCAGACAGAGTCTTGCTTTGTCACCCAGGCTGGAGTGCAGTGGCACAATCTCAGCCTCGCTTTGACCTCTACCTGCCAGGTTCAAGCGATTCTTCTGCCTCAGCCTCCCGAGTAGCCTAGACTACAGGCACACACCAGCTAATTTTGTATTTTTCATAGAGACGGGGGTTTCACCATATTGGCCAGACTGGCTCGTCGAACTCCTGACCTTGTGATCTGCCCACCTCGGCCTCCCAAAGTGCTAGGATTATAGGCATGAGCCACCACGCCTGGCCCCTTATTTTTTTTTTTTTTTAGAGATAGGGCCTGGCTCTGCTGCCCAGGCTGGAGTGCAGCTGCAGGATCATGGCTCACAGCCGCTTCAACCTCATGGGCTCAAGTGATCCTCCCACATCAGCCTCCCAAGTAGCCAGGACCAGAGGTGTGTACTGCCTTGTCTGGCTAATTTTTAAAGTTTTTTGTAGAGATGGGATCTAGCTATGATGCCTGCAGCTGATCTCAAACTCGTGGCCTCAAGCAATTCTTCTACCTCCTCAGTAGCTGGGACCACACATGCACATCCAGCTGTGTTTCCTTATCTGATATGGACACACCACCACCCACTTTACAGAACTTTAAAGCACATCTAGCCCTTGACATTAGTTTGCTTTCTATCCTGAACTCTCTACTAATGTAACCTGAAACAATTTTATTGGATTTTTAGCCTCCAGCCTGAAAGCTTGGCGGGTCCCTGGGAGGGCGGATGTAATGACTCTGGACTTGGGGTGGACAGCACCCGAGGGAGCAACCCTGAGAAAAATGAGGATTCTGCCCACTGAACAGCCTGACCTTGGCCAGGTACAGTGACTCATGCCTGTAATCCCAGCACTTTGAGAGGCTGAGGTGGATAGATCACTTGAGGTCAGGAGTTCAAGACCAGCCTGGCCAACATAGTAAAACCCCATCTCTACTAATACAAAAATTAATTACAGGCATAGTGGTATATGCCTACTAATATATATATATCTTATATATCTTATATATATCTACTAAAAATACAAAAATTAGCCAGGCGTGGTGGCACGCACCTGTAATCCCAGCTACTTGGGAGGCTGAGGTAGGAGAATCACTTGAACCCGGGAAGTGGAGGTTGCAGTGAGCTGAGATTGTGCCATTATACTCCAGCCTGAGTGACAGAGGGAGGCTTTGTCTCAAAAAATAAATAAATAACATCTGCAGCTCTGACCGTTGGGATCACTTGTTGGAAGGGCCAGATTCCTATGCGGTCACCTAGCAGATGTCCACCAATGACAGGCCCCGCTCCTGGCTCCAATCAGCCCAAGGACCTTTCTATTACAAGCAGAGATCCAAGGACATCAGACATTTGATGGAGGCCTTTGCCGTGGGCACACCAAACTAAAAACAGACAGACACTCCCCCATCCAAGAATCAATGCACAAACAGCTAGAGTGGATAGCACAGATAGGATCTTCCATTAATGAAGGAGGCTTGACAAGGGAAACGTGCAAACAAAATGTCTCCAATTAAGTGACTGCAGAAATGAAAAGCCTGGAAGAGGAAATAAGGTGAAGTGGAATAAATACCCCAGAAAGTAAAAAATAAAGAAGGAAAATAGAGAATAAGACAAGAAAATTAGAGAATCTGTTTCAGTGGAAAAAACGGTGGTGACAAGGGAGATAACTATTTTTTTCTTTGCTTTTTAGAGATGGGCATCTCACTATGTTGCCCAGGCTGGTCTCAAACCCCTGGACTCAAGGGATCTTCCCACTTCAGCCTCCCAAAGTGCTGGAATTATAAGCCTGAGCCACCATGCCAAGCTCTTAAAAAAAAAAAAAAAAGTGAAGGATGGGCCAGGTGCAGTGGCGCACGCCTGTAATCCCAGCACTTTAGGAGGCTGAGGCAGGCAGATCAGCAGGTCAGAAGTTCGATACCAGCCTGACCAACATGGAGAAACCCCGTCTCTACTAAAAATACAAAATTAGCCGGGCATGGTGGCCCATGCCTGTAATCCCAGCTACTCTGGAGGCTGAGGCAGGAGAATCACTTGAACCAGTGCACTCCAGCCTGAGCAACAGAGTGAGACCTTAGCTCTAAAATAAAGGAGAAAACAAGTGAAGGCAGGCATGAGATCCAGGAAACAGGAAAACAGACCCAAGAAAAGTGAGTGGAGCCTCCAGGATGTTGGTAAAAGCCGATCCCAGGACAACATACATGTACCAGAGGAAGGGGGTAACTATTCCAGGCTGGAGTAAACAGAGAGCTTTACAGTGGGTGTGGATGACAAGCATGTTGGTAGATTACTGATGTACTACATTCAGCAGGAGGTTTACACTTGTAGCAAACAATTTGGCATGAGGTAAGCCCAAGGAAAACAAAGATATGAGTGAAGATGTGGATTAATTCCAAGGAAAACACACTTCTGAATATAATTTACATAATTATGACAAAACCTGACATCAAGCTAACAAAAATTAGGTATCTATGGTAGGAAGACAGGCAGGTGGTATTTAAAAAAAAAAGGGTGTCTCAGCCAGGCACAGTAGCTCATGCATGTACTCCCAGCACTTTGGAAGGCCAAGGCAGGTGGATCATGAGGTCAGGAGTTCTAGACCAGCCTGGCTGAGATGGTGAAACCCTGTCTCTACTAAAAATACAAAAAAATTAGCCGGGTGTGGTGGCAGATGCCTGTAATCGCAGCTACTTAGGAGGCTGAGACAGAGGATTCCTTGAACGCAGGAGGTGGAGGTTGCAGTGAGCCAAGATCATGCCACCGCACTCCACCCTGGGTGACAGAGCAAGACTCCCATCTCAAACAAACAACAAAAAACCTGGGTATCTCTTCTGTAAATTTGAGCATCATCTTTAAATGTGGCATAAGCATGATGTTAAGAATTATGAAAGCATAGACTAGAATAAATAGATCAAAGAGTAGAAAGTTCTGGCCTCCAGGGTTGGGTAAGGTGGAGCAGGGGTGGAAGAGGCAGACACGGGTCCTCCCTTGCTTTGAACATCTTTAGTTCTATAAATGCATATATTGTATCAAAGTTCATTAAGTTATGAAAACCAAGTATATAAGAAAGTCATGGTTCAAATATAAAATGTAGGCCAGGTGCAGTTCATACCTATAAACCCAGCACTTTGGTAGGCCAAGGGGAGGGGATAGCTTCAGGCCAGGAGTTCAAGACTAACCTGGACAACATAGTGAGACCCCATCTCTACAGAATTCTTTAAAAAGTTAGCTGTGTGTGGTGGCACTGCCCTGAACTATAGATGATGGCTTAAATCCACACACACACGTTCTCTCTTGAACTTTCTAGGAAAGGTAAGAGAGATTGAGTTTCTACAGACGATCATCTCTGATCTTATCAGTGTCAGGATGTTAATTGCCAGAGAAAAGCAAGCCAGTAACACTATCCCTGCAGCACCAAGAACCAATGATATGGTATCCTCAAGTCAAAGTCTGTCCAGAGGTCAGGCGTGGTGGCTCACGCCTACAATCTCAGCACTATGGGAAGCTGAAGCATGTGGATCACTGGAGATCAGGAGTTCAAGACCAGCCTGGTCAACCCCATCTCTCTCTCTCTTTTTTTTTTTTAAAGACGGGGTTTCACTATGTTGGTCAGGCTGGTCTTGAACTCCCGACCTCAGGTGATCTGCCCACCTTGGCCTCCAAAGTGCTTGGATTACAGGTGTGAACCACCACGCCTGGCCAAAACTCTATCTCTTTTACTAAAAATACAAAAATTAGCTGGGTATGGTGGCAGGTGCCTATAGTCCCAGCTATTCGGGAGGCTGAGGTAGGAGAATCTCTTGAACCTGGGAGACGAAGGTTGCAGTGAGCTGAGATTGTACCACTGCACTCCAGCCTGGGTGACAAAAGTGAAACTCCATCTCAGAAAAGAAAAAAAGAAAACAAAGTCTGTCCAGATAGTTATAAGACCATTCTACCGACTTGAAGTTTTTGCTTTAAGACCTTTTAAAAGCCAATTACTAAGCAAATGTTTATTTTTAATTTTTTGAGACAGTTTCACTCTTGTTGCCCAGGCTGGAGTGCAATGGCATGATCTTAGTTCACTGCAACCTCTGCCTCCCGGGTTCAAGCGATTCTCCTGCCTCAGCCTCCCGAGTAGCTGGGATTATGGGTACACACCACCACCCCCAGCTAATTTTTTGTATTTTTAGTAGAGACAGGATTTCACCATGTTAGTAGAGATGGGGTTTCACTATGTTGGCCAGGATGGTCTTGAACTCCTGACCTCAAATGATCCACCTGCCTTGGCCTCCCAAAGCGCTGAGATTACAGGCATGAGCTGCTATGCCCAGCCTAAACAAATATTCTTAGGAGATGAATTCTACATGGCTTTAAGATGCAAGTGGTTTATCTGAAGTTCAGATAGAGAAAGGTGTACATGCTGAACATTTTATTAATATTAAGTTTAGAAGCTTTACATTTGGGTTACACTAAGATATAGGGCTGCTGCTTCTTAAAGAGGGATCCACTGGCATTGGGTTGTTGGGTTAGGAGTAATGGAGCTTGGCTATTTTTTTGCTAAGCAGTCACAATTCATAAATTCACAATCTTGGTCTACGACTTGGCTCAGTAACATTAGGCTCTCATCTTCTTCCTTCAGGAGAGAACAAACACTGTTATACCTCCAGGATTCTCAGCACATCATCACTGCACATTTGACAAAATGCACCTTGTAACAAAATCCATCCTCTTCACCATGTCTAAGTCATCAAGTACATTCACATTGAATTAATTAGGTACATTCACCTCAGTAGCAATTAAGCACAGTCACATTGTGCAACCACCACCACCACCACCACCACCACCACCACCACCACCACCTCTAGAACTGTTTCATCTTGTACAACTGAAGCTTAGCATCTATTAAATTGGGGGTCCCCAACCCCCTGTCCATGGCCTGTTAGGAACTGGGTCACACAGCAGGGGGTGAGCAGCAGGGCAGCAAAAAAAAGCTTTCTCTGTATTTACAGCCACTGCCCATGGCTCGCAAGACCGCCTGAGCTCCGCCTCCTGTCAGATCAGCTGCAGCATTAGATTCTCATAGGAGTATGAACCCTATTGTGAACTGTGCCTGAGAGAGATGTAGGTTGCCCGCTCCTTATGAGAATCTAATGCCTCCTGATCTAATGTCTCCCATCACGCCCAGATGGGACCATCTAGTTGCAGGAAAAAAGCTTAGGGCTCCCACCGATTCTATATTATGATAAGTTGTGTAATTATTTTATTATATATTACCATGTAATCATAGAAATAAAGTACACAATAAATATAATGCTCTTCCCGAAACCATTCCCTCACCCCAAAGTCAGTGGAAAATTTGTCTTTCATAAAAACTGGTCCCTAGTGTTAAAAAGGCTGGGGATCAGGTCAGGCATGGTGGCTCACACCTGTAATCCCAGCACTTTGGGAGGCCGAGTCGGGCAGATCATGAGGTCAGGAGTTCGAGACCAGCCTGACCAACATGGCAAAACCCTGTCTCTACTAAAAATACAAAAATTAGCCGGGCATGGTGGCACATGCCTGTAATCCCAGTGACTCAGGAGGCTGAGGCAGGACAATTGCCTGAACCTGGGAGGTGGAGGTTGCAGTGGGCCGAGATCGTGCCACTGCACTCCAGCCTGGGCGACAGAGTGAGACTCTGTCTCAAAATAAATAAATTTTAAAAGCTGGGGACCACTGTATTAAATCACTCCTCATTTCCTCCTCCACCCTGCACCTGGCAACCACCATTGTCTCTACAAATTTGACAACTTTGGTACCACATGTAAGTGGAATCGCACATTTGTCCTTTTGTGACTAGCTTCTTTTTAAATGCAGTTATGATATACTAGAACACCATCCTGACAATGAGTAAGAAAATGATGGGAATAGCTACCATTTCTAGATGAGAAGTCTTTAACCTGGAGTTCTTGGATAAGCCCCTGGGATTCAACCCCCTTTGAGAGAGGAGTCTTTTTTTTTTTTTTTTTTTTTTTTTTTTTGAGACAGCGCCTTCCTCTGTCACCTAAGGCTGGAGTGCAGTGGAGTGATCTGAGCTCACTGCAACCTCTGCCTCCTGGGTTCAAGCAATTCTCTTGTCTCAGCCTCCTGAGTAGCTGGGATTACAGGCATGCATCACCATGTCCAGCAAATTTTTGTATTTTCAGTAGAGATGGGGTTTTGCCATGTTTGCCAGGCTGGTCTCAAACTCCTGACCTTAGGTGATCCACCGCCTTGGCTTCCCAAAGTGCTGGGATTACAACCGTGAACCACCTTGCCTGGCCAAGTCTCTTTTTTACAAGGTTTTCATAGGAACCCTTAACCTAGAAGATGCTTATTACCATTATCACCATTCTAGGTCATCTTTTTTTATTTTTTTGAGACAGTCTTGCTCTGTTGCCCAGGTTAGAATGCAGTGGCACAATCACAACTCATTGCAGCCTCCACCTCCCAGGATCAAGCAGTCCTCCCATTTCAGCCTACCGAGTAACTGGGATTTCAGGCATATGCCATTACACCTGGCTAATTTTTTTATTTTTTGTAGAGATGGGTTCATGCTATCTTGCCCAGGCTGGTCTCAAACTCCTGGGCTCAAGCAATCCACCCACCTAGTCTCCCAAAGTGTTGCAATTACAGGCGTGAGCCACCACACCTGACTTGAGTTTTTTTTGTTTGTTAGTTTTTTTGAGATGAAGCTTTGCTCTGTCTGTCACCCAGGCTGGAGTGCAATGGCGCGATCTTGGCTCACTGCAACGTCCGCCTACCAGATTAAAGCGATTCTCCTGCCTCAGCCTCCTGAGTAGCTGGGATTAAAGGCACGCACCACCACGCCAAGCTAATTTTGTATTTTTAGTAGAGACAGGGTTTCACCATGTTGGCCAGGCTAGTCTCAAACTCCTGACCCTCAAGTGATCAGCCTGCTTCAGCCTCCTCAAGTGCTGGGATTACAGATGTGAGTCACTGCTCCCAGCCGAGAGCATCCTCTGTGGTCCCAAATCAAGATTAACTGCCCCAGCTAACCACAGCATCCACCAGCATACAATCAATATGATCAGGTCATATTGATTGTATAGTCCTGTATTTTGCTGATAAGTCACCTTTGACAGCTTAGTGTCAGCCTGTCACCCTGCCTTTTCTGTTGGTCAGCTAGCATGCCTTCACATGGCACTACCCCATCCATGGGGTATACTGGCAGCTTATCTGAGAAGGTTCTGTCAGTTCATCACAGGGAGGGCCCCCCACCCTTTTTCCTCCCTTCCCCAATACCTTCTTGTTGCCTCTCACTCAGGCATAGTACACATCAACTTAACTGACTTTTATCTGATCATGTAATAAACGTTTATCTGGTCATGTAATAAATATGAGGCTGCCTTCCTCATATAAAAGTAGCTGATATGAGTGAAAAACAAACCACAATGAGATACTACTTTATACCCATGAGGATAGCTACTACCAAAACACCCAGAAAATAACAAGTGTTGGCAAGAGTGTGGATAAGCTGCAATCCTTGTACATCCTTGGTAGGGATGTGAAATGGTACTCCTACTACGGAAAAGAGCATGATAGTTCTTCACAAATCCATAATGGAATTACCATATCACCTAGCAATTCCACTTCTGGATATATACTCCAAAGAATAGAGCCAGGTGTGTTGGCACATGCCTGTAGTCCCAGCACTTTGGAAAGCTAAGAGGGGTGGCTTGCTTGAGCTCAGGAGTTTGAGACCAATCTGAGCAACATGGAGAAACCCCATCTCTAAAAAAAAAGAAAAGTTAGCTGCCAGCGTGGTGATGCATGCCTGTAGTCCCAGATACTTGGGAGGCTGAGGTGGGAGGATTGCTTGAGCCCAGGGAGGTCAAGGCTACAGTGAGCTATCATTGCAGCCACTGCCTTCCGGCCTGCACAACACAGCAAGACCCTGTCTTGAAAAAAAAAAAAGGCAGCCAGGCACGGTGGCTCACACCTGTAATCCCAGCACGTTGGGAGGACAAGATGAGTGGATCACCTGAGGTCATCAGTTCAAGACCAGCCTGACCAACATGGAGAAACCCCCTCTCTACTAAAAATACAAAATTAGCTGGGCATGGTGGCACATGCCTGTAATCCCAGCTACTCAGGAGGCTGAGGCAGGAGAATCACTTGAACCTGGGAGATGGAGATTGTGGTGAGCCGAGATTGCATTACTGCACTCCAGCCTGGGCAACAAGAGCAAAACTCCATCTGAAAAAAAAAAAATTCACGCAGGGACTCTAATAGGCTAACACATCCATGTTCATAGCAGTGTATTCACCACAGCCAAATAGTAGAAGCAACTCACATATCCTTTGACAAATGAATGAATAAATACATAGCAGTGTATTCCCCATAGCCAAACGGTAGAAGAGACTCACTTATCCATTCACAGGTGAATGAATAAATACAATGTGGCATATATATTCAATGAAATATTATTCAACCTTAAAAAGGAAAGAAATCCGGATGCGTGCTATGGCATAGATGAACCTTAAAGACACTATGCTGAGTGGAAATCTATCAGTCACCAAAGGACAGATACTGTGCAATTCCACTCATGATGTCCCTAGAATAGTCAAGTTCATAGAGACAGAAAGCAAAATGATAGTTACTGAGGGCTGGGGGAAAGGTGTGTTGGGGACTTTGTAGTTAATAGGTAGGGAGTTTCCATTTGAGAAGTTAAAAACGCTGTGGAGATGGGCTGGGCATGGTGGCTTATGCCCGTCATCCCAGCACTTTGGGATTATGCCGAGGTGGGTGGATCATTTGAGATCAGGAGTTTGAGATCAGCCTGGCTAACATAGGGAAAACTCATCTCTGCTAAAGATTAGCTGGGTGTGGCGGCACATCCCTCTAATCTCAGCTACTGGAGTGGCTGAGGCTCAAGGATCCACTGAATCTGGGAGGTGGAGGTTGCAGTGAGCCGAGATCACGCCACTGTCCTCCAGCCTGGGCGACAGAGTGAGACTATCTCAAAAATAAAAATAAAATAAAAACTGAAAAACATAAAAGGTCACTTTAGCATCAAATCCTCTCCCCTGCCATACTTCTCCCAAAAAGGAGACCAGTAGAGTGAAGTTTTAAGCTAGAGGCAGCAGGACAGGCTCCCGAGGCAGTGGGGCAAGCTCCCAAGGCATTAGAAGAACTTCCAGGCACCAAGAAAGTGACCCGATACAGTAGGGATAGGGGAAACACATTAACTTCAGAGGATGGGGCAGGACAGAAGCCTACCTGCCCAGTCACCTGCCACGACCAACAGCCCGGGCCCTGGCAGGGTGACCCTCTGCAGAGGTGGCCCTACCAGAAGCCCTGGACACTCCTTCACACTCCTAAGTCACTTACCTTGCTAAAATGCTTCTCGATGATGTTCAAAGCTGACAGGCTAATCTGACGGTTCTCATGCAGTTGCAAAGCTTCAATTCTATCAATTCCACCCAGTTCTTCTATCAGAAGACACATGTTTTCCTTCTGAGACAGTTTCTCTGCTGCCTGTGACCAAGTACAAGGGCACATGAGACCCCAGCAGGACCTCTGCCAGCCCTCAAGGGAGCTGCCCTCAGTGGAAGCAAACCAAAGGCTACTATTCCAGAAGGGGTGGTTGCAGTTTTGCTTTTCCCAGATTGGTTGAAAATTACATGATCTTCCTCCATTCCATGTATCCATGATATATAGACATATATAATACAGTGGCTCATGGCTGGAATCCCAGCACTCTGGGAGGCCAAGGCAGGTGGATCACTTGAGGTCAAGAGTTCAAGACCAACCTGGCCAACATGGTAAAACTCTATCTCTACTAAAAATGCAAAAGTAGCTGGGCGTAGTGCAGTGCCTGTAATCCCAGCTACTCAAGAGGCTGAGGCACAAGAATGCCTGAAATGGGAAGCAGCGGTTACAGTGACTGAGACTGTGCCACTGCACTCCAGCCTGGATGATGGCATGAGACTCAGTCTCAAAAAAAATACAAGAAGATACACAGGAAAGACTCAGAAGCTATCATAATTTTGTTAACATTTTGTGTAGAGATAGCATCTTGCCGCATTACCTAGATCAGTCTCCAACTCCAGGTCTCAAGCGATCCTCCTGCCTCAGCCTCCCAAAGTGCTGGATTACAGGCATAAGCCACTGCACTTGGCCCAATTTTTTTTTTTTTTTTTTTTGAGACAGTCTCGCTCTATTGCCCAGGCTAGAGTGCAGTGGCGTAATCTCTGCTCACTACACTCTCCACCTCTCAGGTTCAAGAGATTCTCCTACCTCAGCCTCCCAAGTAGCTGGGACTGCAGGTACATGCCACCATGACTGGCTAATTTTTAAAATATTTTTGTAGAGAGCAGGTTTCACCATGTTGGCCCTGCTGGTCTTGAGCTCCTGTCCTCAGGTGATCTGCCCACCTCTGCCTCCCGAAGTGCTATGATTACAAGCATAAGCCACTGCACTTAATCCAAATATCTATTCTTTATCTGTGTTGTTTGCTCCAAGTTGCAGGATGCCATTGGGTTGAGTTTCAAATCTAGTCTTGACTCAAATTGTTCTTTTCAAGACAATTACATTAAAAAGATGCTTAAAGCGGTCCTCGAAAGGGAGCTCCCTGGTGTCACTTTGAAGCTTTTCAGATGGTTTTGTCACCTATAAAAGGACCTTAACTAAGCTGGGCACAGTGGCCCATTCCTGTAATCCCAGCACTTTGGTAGACCAAGGTGAGAGGATCAGTTGAGCCCAGGAGTTTAAGACCAGCCTGGGCAACATAGCAAGACCTCGTATCTACTAAAAATACATAAATTAGCTGGGTGTGGTAGCACAAGCCAGTAATCCCAGCAACTTGGAAGGCTGAGGTTGGAGGATAACCTTAGCCCAGAGGTTGGCTCAGTTTACTGCCACCTCCGCCTCCCGGTTCAAATCATTCTCATGCCTCAACCACCTGAGTAGCTGGGATTACAGGCATGAGCCACCACACCTGGCTAATTTCCTTTTTTTTTTCGTTTTATAGAGATGGGATTTCACTATGCTGGCCAGGCTTGTCTCGGAAGTCCTGACCTCAGGTGATCCACACGCCTCGGCCTCCCGAAGTGCTGGGATTACAGGCATGAGCCATCACTTCCAGCTCAAAAAATAGTGATTTTGCAAAGGACCCTAACCAAATGAATCTAGCTAGCCTCCAAGATTGCCCTGATGATCCCTGACTCCTGATGCTCAAAACCTGTGTAGTTCCCCACTCACAGTGAATCATGGTGACCTGTGTAACCAATAAAATGTTATAAAAGTGACATAATTGACCTCCAAGGTCACGTCGCAAAGGACACTGAGACCTTTGCCTTGTTTTAAGACCCTTTGCTCCACAGGAAGGCATCTGCTGCGACGTGAGGACACTCAGCCACCCCAACGGAGAGGGGCCACATGTACAAGTGACTTCTCAGCACTGTGTGACCCACCTGAGAAGCCAATCCTCTTGGCCAGGCATGGTGGCTCACACCTGTAATGCTAGCTCTTTGGGAGGCTGAGGTGGGAGGATGACTTGAGCCCAGGAGTTAGAGAACAGCCAGCGAGACCCTGTCTCTACTGAAAATACAAACACTGGCCAGGCGTGGTGGCATCTGGCTGTAGTGCCAGGGATTCCGGAGACTGTGGTGGAGGATTGCTTGAGCCGGGATATCAAGGCTGCAGTGAGCTAAGATCACAGCACTCCAACCTGGGCGACAGAGCAGAGATCCTCTCTCTCTCTCTCAATAAATAAAGATAGCTACAGCCACTCCCCAACCTGAACTATCAGTGACTGCCCCTTTATCTGATTTACTTTATCCATAACTTCCTCCCTGATGCATCTGTCCTCTGTTTCTCTCCTCATACATAGTGTCCATCACAGCAAGGACTTTGCACTGTCACAGTCTGAGCATCTGAAAAAAATACCTGGCACATAGACATTGATTTGAGAAAATGAAGACAGTGGTCCTTCAAGATGGCTCTTTTTGTGTTTCTCCACAGGACACATGGACAGAGGAGGGAGGAGGGATTAGGGGAACAGAAATAATCCAACTTGGGTTTTGCTTTGAGACAGAGTCTGGCTCTGTCATCCTGGCTTGAGTGCAGTGGCACGATCTCAGCTCACTGCAACCTCTGCCTCCTGGATTCAAGCGATTCTCCCACCTCAGCCTCCTGAGTGGCTGGGATGCAGGCATGCACTACCAGCTACTTTTTTGCATTTTTAGTGGAGACGGGTTTCACTGTGTTGGCCCAGCTGGTCTCAAACTCCCGACCTCAGGTGATCCACCTCCCTAGGCTTCACAAAGTGCAACTTGGGTTTTACAAGCCAAATTAAATGTCTTCATCCAATTGGAGACAGCTATTTACAAACCAACCTGTTCAGGACATCTCACCTCGAGGATGAAAGAGATGATATCGAGGATGATGAGAACAATTTCAACATCTGGAGCGGTGAGCAGATTCACCAGGGGCTCCAGGATTCCAGAATGGATCAGCTGGATCAGCTGATCCATGGTGGCCCCCGTTACAAAGTTCACCACCGTCCAGATAGCCTCTTTCTGGACTTTAAATTCTCCCTGCAGAACAAGAACGTTTACATTCTCTACAGGTCCTGAAGAACCTAAATATAGTGACACCAACTTGGTTCACTTTCTAGGGAGCCTGGTGACAGCCAGGAATGCCTGTACCATTTACATAGAATGCCTTGGCTACCTGCCTCTAGTTCTTTTTCTTCCCCACCCCACCCCCCACCCCCATGGCTCACTCTGTCTCCCAGGCTGGAGTGCAGTGGTGCAATATTGGCTCACTGCAACCTCCACCTTCTAGATTCAAGAGATACTCCAACCTCAGCCTCCTGAATAACGGATTACAGGCACCTGTCACCACGCCTGGCTAATTTTTATACTTTTAGTAGAGACAGGGTTTCATCATGTTGGCCAGGCTGGTCTCAAACTCCTGACCTCAAGTGATCCTCCCATCTCAGCCTCCCAAAGTGCTGGGATTACAGGCGTGAGCCCCCATGCCCAGCCCCTGTCTCTAGCTTTTGATCAGAAGACAGCATCTTTGAAAAGCTAAGAAGCAGGCAGACAGAATGAGATGGGGTCTTAAAGGGAGGCTCTAAGATTAAATAGGCTCATTTGCCCACATCAGGCTATGAGAAAATGAAACTGACATTAAGCAATCCTGGGTAATCTACATAGATGGAGTTATGCTTGGGGTTTTAGATGATAGTGACCTACGTCTGCATTTCTAGTCTTTCTGATCTAGTAAAGCTTTGGACAAGAAGCTATAAAGGCTGGGAACACAGATAAAGCCTGAGGGACCAGGCCAGACCAGAGGTGACAGAGAAAGAGCCTAGAAATATCACTCAATGGGCTGGGCGTGGTGGCTCACACCTGCAATCTCAGCACTTTGGGAGGCTGAGGCAGGCAGATTGCCTGAACTCAGGAGTTCAAGACCAGCCTGGGCAACGTGGTGAAACACTGTCTCTACTAAAAACACAAAGTTAGCCAGGTGTGGCGGTGTGCACCTGTAATCCCAGCTACTCAGGAGGCTAAGGCAGGAAAATCGCTTGAACCTGGGAGGCAAATTTTGCAATGAGCTAAGATCGTGCCACTGCACTCCAACCTGGGCAACACAGCAAGACTCCATATCAAAAGAAAGAAAGAGAGAGAGAGAGAGAGAGAGAGAGAGGAGGGAGGGAAGGAAGGAAGGAAGATTACTCAATACATCTTTGCATTTATAAAGTATACTTGGCCCAGAGATATGGGAAGAGTTATCTTCTATTTTTCTATTCCTATTTTATTATTCCCATTTTATGGCTGGGGAAAACTGACCTCAGTGTAAAAACACAAAACAAATAACTTATGGCTCCAATCAAGTTCTAGTTCAAAAGACACCACTTGAAATATAAATGCTCTTTGGTTCATAACCAGATGTTTCTCACTAGAATATGTACAGATTCACAGGGGAGTGCAGGACAGCTAGTACTGAATAGATTGGAAGAAGCTATAATTTAGGTGACACGCCTGGCCTTTCTTGCCTAGCCTGTCATACCTGATGCATCCCTGGGAACCCACTACCCAACCTGAGAACAGGAACACTGCCAGTAGCTTCTCCTCACCCCCGTGGGACTCCACCTGCCTCCCCACCTCCAGCCCAAGGTAACCACTCCTGACTACAGATGGTTTAAATACAGCTCAATTCTTTAAAGGTGGCAAAAAGAAAAATGCAAAGGATAGTCATTGCTCCTGCGAAAGGGGGGTGCAAATCAGAAGAATGAAGCTTTTTTTTTTTTTTTTTTTTTTTAAGAGATAGAGTTTTACTCTTGTTGCCCAGGCTGGAGTGCAGTGGTGCGATGTCGGCTCACTGCCACCTCTGCCTCCCAGGTTCTGGCAATTCTCCTGTCTCAGCCTCCCAAGTAGCTGGGATTACAAGTGCCCACCACCACCACGCCCAGCGAATTTTTTGTATTTTTAGTAGAGACAGGGTTTCACCAGGTTGGCCAGGCTGGTCTTGAACTCCTGACCTCAGGTGGTTCACCTGCCTCAGCTTCCCAAAGTGCTGGGATTACAGTTGTGAGCCACTGTGCCTGGCCCTTTTTTTTTTTTGACAAAGGGTCTCACTCTGTCACGCAGGCTGCAGTGCAGTGGTGTGATGCTAGTTCATTGCAACCTTGACCTCCCAGGCTCCATAGATCCACCTTAGCCTCCCAAGTAGCTGGGACGACAGGCATATGCCACCATGCCTGGCTACTTAGTGTGTGTGTGTGTGTGTGTGTGTGTGTGTGTGTACATATATATATATAATTTGCAAAGATGAAGTTTTGCCACATTGCCCAGGCTGGTCTCGAACTCCTGAGCTCAAACTATCCACCCTACTCAGCCTCACAAAATGTTAGAATTACAGGCACAAGCCACTGTGCTCAGTCTGCTTTATTGTATTTCTACGTTTAGATTAGAATTTTGTTGACATTGCCACTTTAATCAATTTAACTTGGCTTCCCTTCAGTGTATAATATCACCATAGCCTGATAGGGTTTTCCTCCTAAAAACAAAAACTCCACCCTCTTTTGGTAGGGAGAGAATAGACGGCACATTCTTTCACCACCACTTAGACATAAGCCACTATTTACTAGCTCAAGAGTTTTCTGGATGTTTGAGCCATGGGGTCACTTTGTCACTGAACAATGCTTGTTCCATCTTTCAAATCTTTTTTTTGAGATGGAGTTTCACTCTTATCGCCCAGGCTGGAGTGCAGTGGCATGAGCTCAGCTCACTGCAACTTCCACCTCCCAGGTTCAAGCAATTCTCCTGCCTCAGCCTCCCAAGTAGCCGGGACTACAGGCGCCTGCCACCACACCCACTAATTTTTTGTATTTTTAGTAGAGATGGGGTTTCACCACACTGGAGAGGCTGAGGCGGGCGGATTACCTGAGGTCAGGAGTTTGAGTCCAGCCTGATCACCGCGCCCGGCCACATCTTTTAAATCTTGAATGGGTTCTTCAGAATGGAATGCCCCCTTCCTTTTTTCAGGCAGACCTAGGAATCTCAGGTTTCATAGCTTCCCTGTGATCTCAATTAATTTGCTTGCCTATGTCTGGATTTCTGAAGGAGTTCAACCCAGTGCTATTGGAAAGCAATCCTTTGCCATGGTCCCTGTGTGCACCACTTACATGTTTTAGCACAGCCACCAAAGGAGGCAAGACATCGTAGGCAAGCAGCTGCTGGATGTGGTGACAGGGCCCTGCTGCCACGTTGCTCAGGGCCCAGGCTGCCTCCTTCTGGATAGAGGACTTGTTGTGTTGGAGGAGCTGCGGGAGCACGTTCAGTATGCCTGTGTCGATGGCCCTCTGTGTCTGTTCATCTGTGCCCGTGACAATGTTCCCCACAGTGCGGAGAGAAGGGGTCTGGAAGAACAAGACTAGCCGTCTTATTTGTATTGCAAGTCTGTCACAGGAGAAGGCAACAATCACACCAACCCATTCCCTCCCAAACATTGCCATGCTATGTTGACGGTAGTCTGGAAGTCTGTGCACAGGAATTGTATCTGTGATCATTATTTATTCAACTCATGCATGGCCTTTTATTATTTTTTTAGAGGTAAGGTCTTACTGTTACCCAGGCTGGAATGCAGCACCATGATCATAGCTCACTGCAGCTTGGGGGCTCAAGTGATCCTCTTCCCTCAGCCTCCCAAGTATCCGGGACTACAGGTGTGTGCCACCATGCCCAGCTAATTTTTAAATTTTATTGTAGAGGCGGGGGTCTCGCTATGTTGCCCAGGCTGGCCTCAAGTGATCTTCCTGCCTTGGCTTCCCAAAGTGCTGGCATTACAATCATCAGCTGCTATGCCTGGCCCATGGCTATCTCCATGTGATTTAAAGGAACTTTCAGGTCTCCGACTTGTTTGGCTCAAGTGGGATAGAAATACCCAAGAAATGTCTTTATTGAGAAATGCTGTTGTGCTTTTCATATGCTTTCAATTTTATCATCGAATGCTAAGTTTATGATAGCCTTTTTTTTTTTTTTTTTTTTTTGAGTCAGGGTCTTGCTCTGTCCCCCAGGCTGGAGTGCAGTGGTGTGATCTTGGCTCACTACAACCTCTACCTCTAGAGTTCAAGCAATTCTGCCTCAGCCTACTGAGTAGCTGGGATTATAGGCATGTACCACCACACCCAGCTAATTTTTATATTTTTAGTACAGGCAGGGTTTCACCGTGTTGGCCAGGCTGGTCTCGAACTCCTGACCTCAAGAGATCCGCCTACCTCAGCCTCCCAAAGTGCTGGGATTACAGGCATGAGCCACTGCGCCCGGTGACTATAGCCTTTATCATGTAATAATGACTGAATCGGTATTTAGCAGCAGTGTCAAGCTTGTTAAATATTTAATTGGAGATAATTCGGATTTCTCTGCACTGTAGTGGCAGCCCCAGTGAAGTCCAGCAACAGTTCTAGAATGTTCCTAGCCTATTAGGCTACTTACGTGATACTAAAGTGAGAGGTATAAGTGGTACTTCAGGCCAGTCACGGCCTTACCAGGGCAGCTCCAAATAGACCACAGAACTCAGGGATAAGGAACTTATAGAATTTGCTTCTCCACTTTGGCAGTCCAAGGTGGGAAGATCACTTGAGGTCAGGAGCTCGAGACCAGCCTGGCCAACATGGTGAAACCCCATCTCTACTAAAAATACAAAAATTAGCTGGGCGTGATGGTGCATGCCTGTAGTCCCAGCTACTCGGGAGGCTGAGGCAGGAAAATCGCTTGAACCCGGGAGATGGAAGATGCAGGGAGTCTAGATCGTGCCACTGCACTTCGGCCTGGGTGACAGAGTAAGACTCCATCCCCCCCACCCACCCCCACAAAAAAAGAGCTTGTCTTCCCTCATGCTCTCCATGCCCCCAGCACCATCCCCAAACCAACCTTGACATCTGAGAAATCCTATGCTAATCTCAAAACAGATGATCATTAAGGCTGCAGAGTATGCAAAAGTAGGTAAAAGATTAGGAAAGTCAAGAGCAGGCAGCACAGAGGCATCGTCAATATCATGCACCCACCTTTCAAAGCAGTGTATGATGTAGGGAACATGTTTAATAACGTGACAAAGCAGCAGGGCGCAGTGGCTCGTGCGGTCATCCTAGCATTTCGGGAGGCTGGGGTGGGCAGATCACCTGAAGTCAGGAGTTCAGGACCATCCTGCCAACCTGGTGCAATCCTGTCTCTACTAAAAATACAAAAATTAGCCAGGCGTGGTGGTAGTGGGCGCCTGTGATCCCAGCTACTGGGGAGGTTGAGGCAGAAAAATCGCTTGAATCCAGGAGGTGGAGGTTCCAGTGAGCTGAGGTTGTACCACTGCATTCCAGCCTGGGTGACAAGAGACTTTATCTCAAAAAAAAAAAAAAAAAAAAAAAAAAGAGAGACAATAGCAAAGACCAGGGAAATGCAGATGACAAGCCTTGCCCCAGAACCTGTTGAAGTGACTATGATTCAAGGACACGAATCTGCAGGGCCCATGATGACATTTACCAAGACGTTGAGCTCTGAGCTGTTCAAGAGCGCCACCAGCCTGGGCAGGACCCCCATGTCAACCACTTGGCCGATGCGCTTGCTGCAGCTGTCGGTGAGGTAGGACAGCGCCCAGCAGGCGTCAGAGAGAACCTCGCTGTCATGGTACTGTAGGAGGTGGAGGAGGGCCGGCAGTATCTGCTTCACTGCAGTGTCACAAGGATACGGGTTCTTGTTTCGGCACAGGTTCGACAAGGTCCACGTGATATTCCGCAGGAATGTGATCTATAACAAAGAGACTGCCTCCAGCATCCGGTGTAAAGGAGAGAAAATGCAGGCAGCAGTGTGTTCTTACCATTTCCAATCAGTATCATGGATCAGCATGAACCAGAACTTTTTAACACGTTCATTTATTTATTAATTTATTGGGACAGTCTTGTTCTGTTGCCCAGGCTGGAGTGCGGTGGCACAATCTTGGCTCACTGCAACCTCTACCTACCAGATTCAACCGATTCTCCTGCCTCAGCCTCCTGAGTAGCTGCAATTACAGACACCCATCACACACGCCCAGCTCATTTTTAAAATTTTTAGTAAAGATGGGGTTTTGCCATATTGCCCAGGCTGGTCTCAAACTCCGGACCTCAAGTGATCTACTGGCCTCAACCTCGGCCTCCCAAAGCGCTGGAATTACAGGCTGTGTGCCCAGCTGAATCAGAGCGTTGAGCTTCAAATAGAAATGTGTTCTAGGCAGTGATGTGTATTAGGGACACAGGATGAGCTTTATATTTCACATTCCAACATTAGGTGGAGCCTTCCTTGTGTCTTTCAAAATGTTCTTTCCCAAGCACGGGTTACTTGGTCTTTCTACTGGTCTAGAACACCACTGGCATGTCATCTCCATATTTCTAGTCTTCTATTTGAGGATAAGTCTTCCTACTCTGCCTCTGAATCCCATCCATTTTGGCCTTTAATGATTATTAGTTTTAGGTTTTGTAGAGACAGGAGGTCTTGCTATGTTGCCCAGTCTGGACTTCAACTCCTGGCCTCAACTGGTTTGCCTACCTCAGCCTCCCTAAGTGCTGAGATTACAGGCATAAGTCACCACACCTGGTCTTTACTTTTTGCCTTTACAGATTCTGCCCAGAATCACCTCTGACCCCAAGTCACTCCCACCAATTAAAAAAAAAACATTCTGGGACTGTCAGCTGCTCCCCTTTCCAATGCTTTCAGCCATCACCCCACCTCTTTCAGTGTCCATCCTCAAGGAGGCATCTATATTCACGACCTCCCAGATTCCCAATTGTTGAGTTTTTTTTGTTTTTTGTTTTTTGTTTTTTTGAGACGGGGTCTCACTCTGTTGCCCAGGCTGCAGTGCAGTGGCACGATCATAGCTCACTATAGCCTCCACCTCCCAGACCCAAGTGATCCTACCTCAGCCTTCTGAGTAGCTATGCTTGAGGCATGCTTTTTTGTAGAGACGATGTCTTGCTATGTTGCCCAGGCTGGTCTCAAACTCCTGGGTTCAAGGAATCCTCCCACCTCGGCCTCCCAAAGTACTGGGATTACAGGCATGAGCGCCTGGTCTCCAGCTGTTCTTCAGGCCATTCTAGTCATGTTTCTGCCCCTAATTCTTTGGGGTTAGGAATGGGAATCATCTCCTTCCAAGTCACCAAACTCAGCAACTATTTCTTGGTCCTAAAGTGACTGAACCTCTCAGCTGTGATTAGCAGTCAGCCCTTCCCCTTTTGAAAGAGATCTTCTAGGCAACCATGACACCACGCCTGGTTTTCTACAGCCAAATGAGCTGTTGCTACTCAGTCTTTCTGACAGGCTCTGCCCAACTTTAGAACCTTAGAGCCCGCAGGACTGGGTCCCAGGCCCTCCTCACACTCGAGGTCAGGGGTTGGCAAGCTCTTTCTATAAAGGGCCAGATCGTAAACATTTTCAGCCTGTGGCCTCTGTGTTAACAACTCAACTCCATCCTTGCAGCTCAAACAGTGTGTAAATAAATGAGCATGACTGCGTGCCAGTAAAACTTTTTTTTTGAGACAGGGTTTCACTCCATCACCCAGGCTAGAGTGCAGAAATGCAATCGTAGCTCACTGCAGCCTCCATTCAAGCAATCCTCCCACCTTGCCTTCCCAAGTAGCTGGGACTACAGACGTGCTCCACCATGCCCAGCTTGATAAAACTTTGTTTACAAAGCAAGGAGCTGGGCAGGACAGGTTTCTGACCCCTGGCCCCAGTTGACCTTGCCCAGCTGGGTGATACATACACATAGGTCACCTAGGGGGGCACATCTCTCAACCCGACTCTGCTGTAATGTATCTCTAACTTGCCTCAACTTAACCCCTGCAATGAAAGGTCCGATTTCTTTTTTTTTCTGCACTTTCCTCTTTCTCTAGAAAGACAGTCATCTGAACAACCTAACCTGAAACCTAGGGGCATCATGGCTTCTTCCTGTTTCCCTTTCATGTCTATGATAGCCACATTCCAGACCCACCTGCTCCACCATCTCCCTCTGCTATATAATTCTACTGCAGGCAGCCAGACGGGTGTTTCTGCAAGATCAGACCACTTTATTCCCTTGCCTCAAAATCCTCCAAAGCCTCCCCATTGCCAGCAAGAGAGTGTCTAAGCCCTTTCCCTGCTTGATATTGTAAGTGTTCTCTAGTTGGAACCCCCCTCGGGTCATGGCTAGTGTTTTTTTTGTTCAGCCATGTCAGATTTTCTTTCCAGCTTGAAGAGGTTTTTTTTTTTTTTTTTTTTTTTTTTTTGACAGAGTCTCACTCTGTTGCCAGACTGGAGTTCAGGGGCGCAATCTTGGTTCACTACAACTTCCGGCTAGGTTCAAGCAATTCTGCCTCAGCCTCCAAGTAGCTGGGATTACAGGCGCCCGCTTACACGCCTGGCTAATTTTTGTATTTTTAGTAGAGACTGGGTTTCACCATATTGGTCAGGCTGGTCTTGAACTCCTGACCTCAGGTGATCCACCTACCTCAGCCTCCCAAAATGTTGGGAATACAGGCATGAGCCACAGCGCCCAGCCGAAGGTTTTGAACATAGTCCCATGGCTTCTTTTTGTTTGAGGCCAACCTAGAACCCAGTTCCTAAACCAGAAGTCCTCTTCAATTAACAACCACAATCAACAAACCTTGACTCTCAGCCTCAAAAGAAGATCCTGTTCCCCATGAACAGAACTGGTGAGACATTAACCCATTTATGCCAGAAGTTGCAACATTTTTGTGGTGAAAAATCAGACCTTGGTGATGACCTTGAGCAGGTTATAAATAACTCCCACAAGCTTAGCATTCCAATAATGGAACACTGGGCATAAATGTTAAACTATGATCCTAGAATGGAGATCTCAGCCATCTATTTTGCAAGATGGTAAGCTTGTGGAACTCTTTCAGTGCCTCAAAGAGAAGGATCAGTGCTACTGGTCCCTAAAGACAGAACTGAGTCAATCTTTACCTAAAATGATACTCAGTCCTAAGCCTTGCTATTATTTTTTCTTCTTCTTTAGAGTCAGAGTCTCAATCTGTCACCCAGGCTGGAGAGCAGTGGTGTGATATTGGCTCACTGCAGCCTCCATCTCCCTGGCTCAAGCAAGCCTCCTGCCTCATCCTCCTGAGTAGCTGGGACTACAGGGGTACACCATCACACTTGGCTAATTTTTTTTATTTTTAGAAGCAGGGTTTCACCTATGTTGCCCAGGCTGGTTTTGAACTCTTGGTGTCAAGTGATCCTTCTGTCTTGGTCCAGCAAGCACTGGAATCACAGACATGAGTCACCGTGCCCAGCCCTGAGCCTTGTTGTCAAGTCCCTAAGAGACCAGACAGCAGCCACATGATCTAGCATTGATTTGGAAGTACTTCCCAATTTCCCAACATTAGAATTTGTTACCTAGCTAGGTTCTCTCACATTTAGACACTCGCTTGGCCTGGTACTGTGGCTCACGTCCATAATCCCAGAACTTTGAGAGGCTGAGGTAGGAGAATTGCTTAAGGCCAGGAGTTCAAGACCAGCCTCGGCAGAATAGTGACACCCATTTCTATTAAAATTATTTTAAAATTTTAATTCAAAAAAATAAAAAGAAAGAAAAAGACACTCACTGGTAGGGTGTGTGAAATCAAGGCCAGCAGATGTGGGATAGCATTGCTTGAGATGATCTTATCTCTGAACTCTGGGCCGTCACCTACAAATAGATCAGAATGTGACATTCAGGGAGAGAACAAAGACAATCCTGAAGCAGGTGACCTGTTTTTAAGAGTCTGTGCAAAGGGCAAGAGAAAAAAACTCATTCCTGGGTTTGGCAAGTAGGTAGTATAGCCATGTACTCAATTCTGGGTGTCTGGCGTGGCTGGTGGGTGGACAGTCCCATAACAAGCAGGCACCCTCGTCAGCAATGTTAGAAGCAGAGGCTATGGGCATAGCAGAGCCATCCAACTCAGCTAAGGTGGGCTGGTGGCATTTCACAGCATGGTTCTTAGGAAGACGAAGGCTGGTGCAGACCAAGTTGTCTTCCCAGAAGACCCTGGCACAGGGCAATAACTTCCAGTGCAACTCAGAACAGTCTGGGGATCCATAGGTGCTGGTGACCAGCCATCGGCTACCTTAGCTAGGGTAACAATTTTGGACCCCTAAGCCTCTTCGTATTTGTTAACCATAAGGCAAAGCGTCACATCATGCCCTCAAGTCTTGCCTACTTTACTGCACACAAAGCAAAATGAGAGACAGCTTCTCTAGTAGGTACTTCTGCAAGCCGTTTTTTTTTTTCCAAGACCGGATCTTACCCTGTTGCCCAGGCTGGAGTGCAGTGGTACGATCATAGCTCACTGCAGTCTCGACCTTCAGGACTCAATCCTCCTACCTCTGCCTCCTGAGTCCCTGGGACTATAGGCATGCATCACTATGCCTAGTGAGTATTTTTATTTTTGTAGAGATGAGATCTCATTACATTGCCCAGGCTGGTCTCAAACACCTGGGCTCAAGCAATCCTTCCACCTCTGCCTCCTATAGTGCTGAGATTAAAGGCATGAGCCACTATGCTAAGCCTCTGCAAGCATTTTTGTATTGTTTTGTTTTAGCAGTTATTTTACATTCTGTTTGCTAATTCTAATATGTGAAATCCTTGGAGGTCTAATCATACCATTTCTGCTGACTCAGTCATGGTGAGTTGTTGCTTCTCTGAACTTGAAAATGCTAATAGTTGGCTGATTTAATTTGTCAAAATCCTGAGGGACTCAACTGAGTTTTCCTTAAAAAGTTACTGGATTGATGTCGGCCAGGAATCTGAGGGCTTCCAACCCTACAGCACTAACTCACTAGACCCCGAAGGAAACATGGCACTGAGCGCCACATTCAAAAATGGAGTTTTCGGATTCGCAGGGAATGCTTTTTAGCCCAAACCAAGGAGTTTTGTTTTTCTGTTTTTGTTTTTGGCATGTTCCCTTAGCAAGTTCCGCTGAAGGCAGAGTCCTTCTAGGATCCCGAGTTATGTCAGGGTCTGTCATAAACTCCCACGCTGCATGAGCCAAAGACTTGTTCTTGAAGCCACTAAGCCCTGAGGCTGTAGGACCCTGGTATTGACAGATAGCTCTAATTAGCCTATGGCTTCAGTACACACTGTATCATCCTGTTTCAGCTTCAATATTTGGCCTCTAAACTTGGATTTGAGGGGGTTTTTCTTTTTGAGACAGAGTCTCCCTCTTTTGCCCACACTGGAGTGCAGCGGTACAATCTCCTCTTCCCAGGCTCAAGTGATTCTCCCGTCTCAGCCTCCCAAGTAGCTGGGACTACAGGGCACACGCCACCACACCCGGCTAATTTTTGTATTTTTAGTAGAGACGAGGTTTCGCCATGTTGGCCAGGCTGATCTCAAACTCCTAACCTCAAAGTGATCTATCTACATAGGCCTCCCAATATGCAGGGATCACAGCTGTGAGCCACTGTGCCTGGCCTGGCTCTAAGTTATGAAATAGCTCATTGTACTCTTGACAGTACTTCTAGGTATTTACGTGGCAATGGGTTCTGGGACATTGAGTGTACCCCACCAACCAAAGGCCCGCCCTTTTCTTAGCCCACTAAGGGGAGAGTCTCACCGGCTATGTTACCAAGAGCCCACACTGCCTGTTCACACACAGCCAGGTTGGGGGAAGACAGGAGCGCGATCAAGGGCTGGATGGCTCCCCCTTCTACCACGGCTCGAGTCTGCTCCGAAGTCCCTGCAGCAATGTTGGTGAGGACCCAGGCAGCCTCAAACTGCAAGCAGGGGTAAAGTGATGACTTCAGGAACTCCACCATCCTGGGAATGAGGCCTGCTTCGACGACCGATTTCAGAGGGGGGGTTTTTTCCTGTGATAGCATTTTCCTATGCAATGAAAGAGAGGGTAGGGAGGGGGAGGTCATGAGAGGGAGGTTTTAAGGAACTTTTTTTAGGCCAGGTGCGGTGGCTCGCACCTGTAATCCTACCACCTTGAGAAGCCTCAGCGGGCAAATGATTTGAGGTCAGGAGTTCAAGACCAGCCTGGCCCACATGGTGAAACCCCCATCTGTACAAAAAAATACAAAAATTAGCTGGGCGTGGTGGTACACGCCTGTAATCCCAGCCTCTTGGGAGGCTGAGGCAGGAGAATCACTTGAACTCAGTAACTAGAAGTTGCAGTGAGCCAAGATCGTGCCACTATACTCCAACCTAGGTGACAGAGTGAGACACTGTCTCAAAAAAAAAAAAAAAAAAAAAGAACCTCCTTTTATACATGTTCTTGGCATTCCTAACTATCAGATGAGGCACATAACTGGATCTGAGCTATTTTACATCCTAGTGTTCAGACGATAGCATTTTGCAGTGATCAAGCGACACTTTCCCCTTTAAGGTACTGTATTATCTACAAGCTGAAATTTCTGTAGAGGCCAATGTAAATTAAGCAATTCATTTCTGACAACACATCGAATCTTTTAAATTGCCATCAAGGATAGTGTAGAACTGCAATCTCATCTCACTTGTAGATGGGCTACCCTTTTGTGTGTGTTTTACAGACATATTGCCAATGCCAAGAAACCAAATAGGCCACTGGACCTCATGGCTAACTATGAACCTGCTAACAGCAGAAGTCTGTTTGGAAAGATACCTGGTTGTCTTGGTGGCCTGGAAACACAGGGCTGGATCTGAGCTATTCACACCTTGGATTATTTCACCCAGAGTGAGGCTGACCTGCAAGGAGAGACACATTCAGGTCAGATTCTCTGCCAAAAGGAGCTGTCAACATCACCTCATCTAGCCGTCGTCCATCTGATTAACACAGGCTGGCTTGAACAGTATGTCCCATCTTGCATGCTACTCTCTACTGGGGGAGGCAAGAACATTTGGTGGTCCACGGATCTCACAGATCTGGGTGACACTTCCCATGCTTAGGGGAGAAGTCATTCCTATCATTACTTGGATCCCAAGAACATTTTTATCCCATGCAGTAAGAACTTGCTACTGGATACGAAACATGGCAGACTAAGGACGTCCAAAAAATTCTCTCCTCCGCAGAAGCAATAAGAAAACTGACCAAAATAGAATCAACTTTTTCAGCACTGTAGAAATTGACCAAAGGCTTGCAGCCAGTTGTTTTATTCAAGCCAGGAACTGTTCATCCAGGAAAGACAGCTGAATCTCAGTAAGAATCATGAGAGTGGCTGGGCCTGGTGGCTCACACCTGTAATCCCAGCATTTTGGGAGTCCGAGGCAGACAGATCACGAGGTCAGGAGATCCAGACCATCCTGGCCAACATGGTGAAACCCTGTCTCTATGAAAAACACAAAAATCAGCTGGGCATGATGAAATACTCTTATAGTCCCAGCTACTCACGGGGCTGGGGCATGAGAATAGCTGGAACTCGGAAGGCAGAGGTTGCCGTGATCCAAGATCGCACCACTGCACTCCAGCCCACCAGAGTGAGACTCTCTCCAAAAAAAAAAAAAAAAGAATCATGAGAGCTTTGTGGCACTTTGCACTATTCCTGTCCACCCTCAGCTCCACGGTAGCCTTGAAAACCAGTAGTCCACAATCATTGTGAAAAACCAATGGCCACCACAGCCACCAGAAGAGGTAAAATGGGTAGGTGCTCCTTTGAAGCTCCATTCCCAGAAAATGATTATTTGATCTTCCTGGTCATTCCCTAAAAGATCCCACTTACAGACCATGCTGACTCAGAGCTTACTCAACGTGAAAAGGCCTTTCCCTAAGAATGTTCATTGAAAACAGAGTAAGTTGTTTAACCTCATAGCTACCTGAGAGGTTGAATAACAGTTGGGATAAACAACAGGCTAACACAAAAACTTGAAAGGAATATATGAGGAATTAGATGTCCATTGGGGCTTTGAAAGCTCTGACATATTCCTAAGAATCTAGGAGGTCATGTGCACGTATAGGGCTAAACACATGCTAAAAACAATAACAACAAAAACTAAGACCCTCAGCTCTCACCTCTCACTGACCTTAAGGCTCTATGCAAACAGGAAGTGAAGGCTTACGGCAGAATTGTCAACTGCCTGGCTGAGTGATGAAGGCATGCTCCCAACACACAGCTTCTTGGCAAAAAATTGAGTGTTCTTTTCCTTGTGGTTCCAAATGTTAAAATAAATCTGATTAGTTGACACTAAGCAAACTGAGCAGAGACTTCAGTAGCCCCACATTACAAAAAATAGATTTTAGATAATTAGTTCAGAAATTACTAAACAAGCACAGCCAGCAACAACAACAAACCCTGGGGTAACGGAAAGTCTGATTTCTAGAGTTGTCACACTATTTTAAATGACTTGTTTTCAACAATTATGAGACAAGCAAAGAAAGTGTGACACACACATATACATATATATGTGGAAAAAAAGTAATCAATAGAAATGGTCCCTGAGGAGACCAGATGCTCAACTAGACAAAGATTTTAAATATAGTCAAAGAACTCAAGTAAACCATGACTAAAGAACTAAAATACAAGAATGAGGTTTCAACAAATACAGAATATCAATGAGCAGATATAAGTTATTGGAAGGATCCAGATACAAATTCTGGAATTGGAGAATACAATAACTGAAACAAAAAATTCACTAAAGGGGCTTAACATCAGATTTAAGCAGATAGAATACAGCAGCAGTGAAGCTGAAGATAGGTTAAGTGAAATTATCCAGTCTGAGGAAGATAACACACAGAAGAGACTGAAGATGAAATTTTTTTTTTTTTTTTTGAGACAGAGTTTCGCTCGTTACCCAGGCTGGAGTGCAATGGCACAATCTCGGCTCACCGCAACCTCCGCCTCCTGGGTTCAGGCAATTCTCCTGCCTCAGCCTCCTGAGTAGCTGGGATTACAGGCACACGCCACCATGCCCAGCTGATTTTTTGTATTTTTAGTAGAGACGGGGTTTCACCATGTCGACCAGGATGGTCTTGAACTCTCAACCTTGTGATCCACCCGCCTCGGCCTCCCAAAGTGCTGGGATTACAGGCTTGAGCCACGGCGCCCAGCTGAAGATGAAAATTGACAGATTTTTTAGAGCTCTGTGGAACGCCCTCAAGGATACCAACAAATGCACAATAGGAAGGAGAGGAGGGAAAGAGGCAGAAGGTATATTTAAAGAAATAATGGCCAAACACATTCCCAAATCCAACAGAATAATCAGTCTGCACATCTGAAAAGCTCAATGAACTCCAAATAGAATAAATCCCAAGATCCAGACATATTATAATCTAACTGTTGAAAGCCAAAACTATATAATCAAAAGCATTGAAACCAGCAAGAGAGAAACAACTCATGTACAAAGCTTCAATAAGATTAACAGCTGATCTCTTATCAGAAAACGTCAAGGTCAAAAAGCTGAGGTACAGTGAGCCAAGAACACACCATTGCACTCCAGCCTGGGGTACAAGAGCAAAACTCCATCTCAAAACAGAAAAAAAAAAAAAGAAGAAGAAGAAGAAGAAGAAGAAGAAGAATCTTTACCAACTTTACAAAAGAAATTTCTCACCCATCCTTTGAGGCTAGTATTACTTTGATACCAAACTAAGAACATTACAAGAAAAGTACACACCAATATCCCGTATAACTACAAATGCAAAAATTCAACAAAATAGGAGGAAAACAAATGCATAAACATATGAAACATATGATCAACATATTGGTCATCATGATGAATTAGGATTTAATCCAAGAATTCAGGAGTGGTTTAACATGTGAAACAAATCAACATAGTACCCCATATTAGTAAAGGGGGAAACCTGCATGATCACCTCAATGCAGAAAAAGCATTTGACAAAATTCAACATACTTTCATAATATAAAAAACACTCAACAAACTGATATAAAAGGTAACTTCTTCATTCTGATAAAGGCATCTACAAAAAACTCAGAGGTAGCCGGGCACGGTGGCTCAAGCCTGTAATCCCAGCACTTTGGGAGGCCGAGGCGGGTGGATCATGAGGTCGAGAGATCGAGACCATCCTGGTCAACATAGTGAAACCCCGTCTCTACTAAAAATACAAAAAACTAGCTGGGCGTGGTGGCGCGTGCCTGTAATCCCAGCTACTTAGGAGGCTGAGGCAGAAGAATTGCCTGAGCCCAGGAGGCGGAGGTTGCAGTGAGCCGAGATCGCGCCATTGCACTCCAGCCTGGGTAGACAAGAGCGAAACTCCATCTCAAAAAAAAAAAAAAAAAAAAAAAAAAAAATCTCAGAGATAACCTCATATTTAATGGTGAAAGTCTAAAGGTTTCCCCCAAGATCAGGAATAAGACAAGGATGCTGCTCTTTTCACTTTTATCCAACATGGTATCAGGAAGTTCTAGATGCATTAATTAGGCAATGAACAAAGTACACCCAGATTGGAAAGGAAGAAATAAAACTATTTGCAAGTGACATAATCTTTTTTTTCCCCCGAGACAGTGTCTTGCTCTGTCACCCAGGCTGGAGTGCAGTAGTGTGATCTCAGCTCATTGTAACTTCCACCTCCTGAGTTCAAGTGATTCTCCTGCCTCAGCCTCCCAAATAGCTTGGATTACAGGCACATGCCACCATGCCCAGCTAATTATTGTATTTTTAGTAGAGATGGAATTTCACCACATTGGCCAGGCTGGTCTCAAACTCGACCTTGCGATCTGCCCACCTCAGCCTCCCAAAGTGCTGAGTTCTGGGATTACAGGTGTGGGCCACCTTGCCCAGCTGACATAATCTTATATAGAGAAAATCCTAAGGAATTTACACAAAAAGCCTAGAGCTAATAAATTCAGCTAGGTTGCAGAATTGATATACGAAAATTATTTGTATTTTTACACAATTAATAGTGATCAAAAATCAAAATAAAGCAACTTAATTTACAATAACATAAAAACAATAAAATGCTTAGTAATAAATTTATCAAAAGAAATGTGAGTTATATGATGCAAACTGTAAAAAATTAATAATAAAGAGAACTGAAATAAATGAAAAAGTATCCCATGTTCATGGATGGGAAGACTTCATATTAAGATGGCAAGACTCCACCTTATAGGTTCAATGATTCCACTCTATAGGTTCAATGCAATCTCCATCAAAAGCTGAGCTGCCTTTATTGAATAAGTTGACAAGCTGATTTTAAAATTTGTATAGAAATACAAAGGATCCAGAATAGCCAAAATTATATTGAAAAAAGGACAAAGCTGGAAGACTCACACTTCTCAATTTCAAAACTTACCACAAAACTACAGTAATCAAATATTTGATGGCATAAAGATAAACATATAGATCAATGGAAGAGAACTGACAGTCCACAGATGAACCCTTATATTCATGGTGAATCGATTTTTGACAAAGGTACCAAGACAATTCAATGGGTAGAAAATAGTCTCATCAAATAATTGTGCTTGTACAACTATGTATCATATGCAAAAGCAAAATGTTCGACTCCTACTCTCACTATTTACAAAAATTAACTCCAAATGGCTCAAAGGCCTAAAAGTAAGAGCTAAAATTATAAACTCTTAGAAAGAAATATAAGCATAACTCTTTGTGACCTTAGATTAGGCAATGGATTCTTGAATATGACACCTAAAACACAGCCAAGAAAATAAGCTACACTTCTTCAAAATTAAAAGCTTTCATGCTTCATAGGATACTATCAAGAAAGTGAAAAGACAACCCACAGAGCAGTAGAATATATTTGCAAGTCATATCTGCTAAGGTTTAGTATCTAGAATATATAAGGAATTCTTACAACTCAATAAAACCCAATTTGACTTAAAAATAGACAAAGGGCTTGAATAGACTACCCTTTTTTTGTGTGTGAGACAGTCTTGCTCTGTCACCCAGGCTGGAGTGCAGTAGCATGATCTCGGCTCACTGCAACCTCTGACTCCTGGGTTCAAGCAATTCTCCTTCTCAGTCTCCCGAGTAGTTGGGGTTACAGGCACCCACCACCACACCTGGAAAATTTTTGTATTTTTACTAGAGATGGGATTTCATCATGTTGGCCAGGCTAGTCTCAAACTCCTGCCCTCAAGTGATCCACCTATCTTGGCCTCCCAAAGTGATGAGATTACAGGTGTGTGAGTTACTGTGCCCAGCAAGAATAGACATTTTCCAAAGAAAATATACAAATAGTCATTAAGCCCATCCAAAGCACATCCTAGTGCTTTGGGAGATTGAGGTGGGAGGATTACTTGAGGCCAGGAGTTCAAGACCAGTCTGGGCAACATAGTGAGACCCCCATCTCTACCAAAAAAATGTTTAAATTAGCCAGGTGTGGTGGTGTATGCCTGTAGTCCCCCCTACTTAGGAGGCTGAGGCAAGAGGATTGCTTGAGCCCAGGAGTTTGAGGCTTCAGTGAGCTATGATCATACCACTGCAGCCTGGGTGACACAGCAAGACTGTCTCAAAACATCAACCAAAAAAAAAAAAAAAAAAGGGAAAACGTATGAAAATCATAGTAACATAGCTTTTTGAACCTACTAGATAGCTATAATTTTTGAAAATAAACAGTAACAAGTATTATTAGGAATGTCAAGATGTATGGTGGTGGAACCACTTTGGAAAATGGCTTGACATCATATGTTTCCTATTGCTGCTGCAAAAGCTACCACACTTAGTGGCTTAGAACACACAGACTTATTCCTGTGGTTTGGAAGGTCAGAAGTTCATAATAGATTTCACTGAGCTAAAATTAAGATATCAACAGGGCTGGTTCCCCCTGAAGGCTCTGAGAGGAGAATCTGTTTCCTTGCTCTTTTCAGCTACTCATGGAATCACGTGTATTCCTTCATTTGTTGTCCCTCCCATCATCATCAAAGCACACCATGCTAATATCTGCCCGCCCCCTGCTCCCACCACCCCCCCCCCGCCTTTTTTTTTTTTTAAGACAGAGTCTCACTCTGTCACCCAGGCTGGAGTTCAGTGGTGTGATCTCAGCTCACTGCAACCTCTGCCTCCCAGGCTCCAGTGATTCTCCTTCCTCCACCTCCTGAGTAGCTGAGATTACAGGCACACACCACCACATCTGGCTAATTTTTGTGTTTTTGGTAGAGATGAGGTTTCACCATGTTGGCCAGGCTGGTCTCGAGCACCTGATCTCAAGAGATCCTCCTGCCTCAGCCTCCCAAAGTGCTGGGATTACAGGCACAATCCACCATCCCTCGCATCTGCTTTTATCATCACATTGCTCTTCTTATAAGACCTGTCGAATGCCAGGCCCACCCATATAATACAGAATCACCTCTATCTCAAAGTTCTTAACTTGATCACATCTGCAGGGTCCCTTTTGTCATAGAGTAACATGCACAGGTTTGGAGATTAAAAGATGCAGACACTTGGGGTGCCACGATACAGCCTACCACAAAGAGTGAAACAGACTCGGCACATAACCTAATTATTCTCAGTGGAACTGAAGACATCCATCCACATAAAAACTTGTATACAGATGTTAATGACAGTACTCATCATAATAACCAAAAAGTAGAAACAACTCAAATGTCTCCCAACTAATAAATGGATAAACAGGCCGGGCATGGTGGCTCATGCCTGCAATCCCAGCACTTTGGGACGCCAATGTGGGCGGATTGCTTGAGGTCACAAGTTCAAGCCAACATGGTGAAATCCCATCTTTACTAAAATACAAAAGTTAGCCGGGCGTGGTGGCATGCGCCTCTAATCCCAGTTATTCGGGAGGCTGAGGCAGGGGAATCGCTTGATCCCAGGAGGTGAAAGTTGCAGTGAGCCAAGATTGCGCCACTGCATTCCAGCCTGGGCGACAGAGTGAGACTTATATTTATTTATCTTATAAACATAGATATACAAACTGTGGTCTACCCATATGACAGAATATCATTCTGTCCAAAAGGAAGGAAGTACTGATACAGGCTACAACATGAACTTTGAAAACATGAAAGCTAAACACAAAAGCTTGCACGTTGTATGATTGCATTTGTAAGGAATGTATAGAAGAGGTTATTCCAGAGACAGAAAGTAGTCTAGTGTTTGCAGAGACTGTAGCAGGTGAGGAATGGGGAGTGACTACTGAGTGAGTGTGGAGTTTCTGTTTGAGGTGATGAGTAGGTTCTGGAATTATCTAGTGTTGATGGTTGCACAACTTGGTGACTATACCCGAAACCACTGATTAGGTACTTCGAGAGTGAATTTTGAAGTATGAGTTATACCTATGTTTCTTTAAATTAAAAAAAAACACGCTAATATAGAACCAAAAGGTAAACAACTTTTTTTCTTTTTTTTTTTTTTGAGATGGAGTCTCTCTCTGTCACCCAGGCTGGAGAGCAGTGGCACGATCTCAGCTCACTGCAACCTCTGCCCCCCTAGGTTCAAGTTATACTCCTGCCTCAGCCTCCCAAATAGCTGGGATTACAGACACACGCCACCATGCCCGGCTAGTTTTTATATTTTTAGTAGAGACTGGGTTTCACCACGTTGGCGAGGCTGATCTCAAACCGCTGACCTCAGGTGATCCACCCGCCTCAGCCTCCCCCAGTGTTAGGATTACAGGTGTGAGCCACTGCATCTGGCCTTATTTTCTCTTTTGCTTCATACCTTTCTTGAATGGGGGATTCCAGGGACTGCTCCAAACAAATTAAGCTAACTAAAGATATAGTTCAGATTCCTATGGCAATTCAGAGAATGACTACCCATTTCACTGATGAATGGGAAGGCACCATTGGACCCACGTGGTAAAAATGAAAGCAGACTCTGCCCTCTAAGAGCCTGAAGCCTAGCAGGGTAAAAAGGGTACATGTGGGTAGTTAAGGTAAGACACAGACAGTGGTGTACCCCAAAAGACATACAGAGGCAACATTATTGAGGTGCTAAGAAGGAAAACTTCCTGGTCAAGGCATTCGGGATTCACAGAAACCAAACTAACCTTGAAGTCAACCCGGAATCTGCATTTAATGAGGTTGGGATAGATGGAGAAGGGAAGACTTAACCCACCCAAGGACTAGATGCTTCCATTGAGAAATAACCTTCACGCACACTCATTTCCTCAGTTTTCAGGCTTACAGGTAGCAAGTGAATTTTTAATTAGAAATATCACCTTTTGCCGGGCGCAGTGGCTCAAGCCTGTAATCCCAGCACTTTGGGAGGCCGAGGCGGGTGGATCACGAGGTCAAGAGATCGAGACCATCCTGGTCAACATGGTGAAACCCCGTCTCTACTAAAAATACAAAAAACTAGCTGGGCATGGTGGCACGTGCCTGTAATCCCAGCTACTCAGGAGGCTGAGGCAGGAGAATTGCCTGAACCCAGGAGGCGGAGGTTGCGGTGAGCCAAGATCCGCGCCATTGCACTCCAGCCTGGGTAACAAGAGCGAAACTCCGTCTCAAAAAAAAAAAAAAAAAAAAAAAAGAAAGAAATATCACTTTTTTGGCCAGGTACAGTGACTCACACCTGTAATCCCAGTACTTTGGGAGGCTGAGGCAGGCAGATCACTTGAGTCAGGGGTTTGAGACCATCCTGGGCCACAGGGAAAATCCCTGTCTCTATAAAAAATACAAAAATTCATCAGGCCTGGTGGTGAGTGCCTGTAGTCCCAGGTAATCTGGAAGCTGAGCCAGGAGGCTCACTTAAATCCAGGGAGGTTAGGGCTGTGATGAGCTCTGATTGTGCCACTGCACTCCAGCCTGGGTAACAGAGAGAGACCCTCTCTCAAAAATTAAAAATTAAAAAGGTAAAAAAGTAAGCCGGGCATGGTAGCTCACACCTTTAATCCCAGCACTTTGGGAGGCCAAGGCGGGCAGATCACCTGAGGTTGGGAGTTAGAGTCCAGTCTGACCAACATGGGGAAACCCTGTGTCTACTAAAAATACAAATTAGCTGGGTGTGGTGGTGCATGCCTATAAACTCAGCTACTCGGGAGGCTGAGGCAGTCACTTGAACCCGGGAGGCAGAGGTTGCAGTGAGCCAAGATCATGTCATTGCACTTCAGCCTGGGAAACAAGAACGAAACTCTGTCTCAAAAGAAAAGGTAAACAAGTGACATAAAAAAAGAAATAGCACCTTTTTCTTTCCCCACTAGGACCTAGATTCCACAGCTCACAAACACAGGAGTAATGGCCATTTTCCTTTTGACAAAGGCAGTTTAGCTCAAACCATAATCTCTTCACTCTTTTCTTTAAAAGCCCCAAATGGGAGTTTGCAAGTTCTGAATCTATTAAACATTTTCCAGCCAGAGACACTTACTAAGAACATATTTTGCACAAGACTGCTCTAAACACTATGTACTGACCGCCACCCCTTTGGCTGTTTTTTCAGAAGGTGTGTCAGGGCAGAAGCTGGTAATATTCCTTCTCTTTAAGGTCTGTTCATCTTTCTTGGCCTTTCGGAGCTTCAGGCTGACTGCCATTCTCTGCTGTCGCCTCAGCTAGTGAGGAAAAGAAATTGGAGCAGTTAGAACCAGGAGTGGGGATGTCACCATATTTAGTCTGTCAGACATATTTCAAAGTATCCAATCTCAGTTTTACAAATCCAACAGGCTGAAAGAGTTCAGATCACAGTTAATAAATCATCTCAGCTGTTTACATCCTCTTCTGCTTTCTCTTCTACCATGTCTAGAAAATAATTCGATCTTCCTTCCAAAATAAAGCAAGACTATGTACAACTTTGACAGGTCAGGATTCTCAGCTGTAAAAACACCTTGGCAAGGCATCCCATTGCCCTCCATAAGTCTGAAAGCATCTTCACCAATGCTGACCAGTTCCTGAAGAGTATAGGTTGCTTCCTGAATGTGCCCAGGCCTTTTCAGTGGTGGTTTGATAGGTGGTGCCATGGATGATTAGGGAACTGTCCATGTCCTAGACGCCCTGATCATTTCCATTACTTTTTGGAGATGGAGTTTCACTCTGTCACCCAGGCTAGGGTGCAGTGATGTGATCTCGGCTCACTGCAACCTCTGCCTCTGGGGTTCAAACCATTCTCGTGTCTCAGCCTCTCAAATAGCTGGGATCACAGGCATGCATCACCACACCTGCTAATTTTTGTATTTTTAGCAGAGACAGGGTTTCACCATGTTGGCCAGGCTGGTCTCAAATTCCTGGGCTCAAGTGATCCACCCACCTCAGCCTCCAAAAGTGCTGGGATTACAGGCTTAGCAACTGCGCGTGACCTGTCTATAAGCCATTAAGGCCTCCATCCCCAAGACGATGTACTGAGGGTGATTAAAATTAAAACAAGGCTGGGCATGGCAACTCATGCCTGTAATCCCAGCACTTTGGGAGGTCAAGGCAGGAGGATCACATAAGGCCAGGCTATTCCAGACCAGCCTGGACAACATAGCAAAACCCTATCTCTACCAAAAAAAAAAAAAAAAAAAAATTAGCTGGGCGTGGTGGCATGCACATGTAGTCCCAGCTACTTGGGAGGCTAAGGTGGGAGGATCCCTTAAGCCAGAGAGGTCTAGCCTGCTTTGAGTTGTGATTGTACCACTGCACTCCAGCCTGAGCAATAGACTGAGACCCTGCCTCTAAAACACACACACACACACACACACACACACACATACACACACACACACTCTCATACACACACTCTCTCTCATATTCACACACACACACTCACACACTCACTCACACAAACTCACACACACACACACTCACAGTCACACTCTTTCTCCTTTTGTCAGTTAATGACTCAAATTTTATAGTGTTGAGAATCCTGAGGAAAATGACCTAACCTTTCTAGATAGCTGAGTTTAAGCCGAAGTATTTAAAGGAGTAATTATGAAGAAGTCATAATATACGAGATACTTCTGGTTCCTTAAGCTATTTAATTCTTGTTTGAAAAAGGGTCATCAGCCAAGCATGGTGGCTCAGACCTGCAATCTCAGCACTTTGTGAGGCCGAGGCAGGAGGACTGCTTGAGCTCAGGAGTTCAAGATCAGTCTGGCCAACATGGTGAGAACCTGTCTCTAAAAAAAATTAGCTGGGCATGATGCTGCTTGAGAGGCTAAGGTGGGAGGATCACTTGAGCCTGGGAGGCAAAGGCTGCAGCGAACTATGATCATGCCACGGCACTCCAGCCTGGATGATGGAGTGAGACCGTGATCAGATAATAGCAATAATAATAAAAGGAAAAAACTTTAAAGGGTCACGGTGGCATTATGTGGCAAGGCAGGAACACCTGTGAGAATCACTGAGTCTGTCATACTCTTGTCCCATCACCAGGCAGGCCTTCCCTGTGAAGTTCTGTATGTTTCTCTCTTCTCTTTGGCGGGCCCTCCCTGTTGCTGTCCATGTGGAGGACTCAATTCCTTTGTTCTCACTGGTTTCCTTTAATCTGCAGTGGTCCTAGAAGCCAGACAGCTTCATTGTTGGAACAGGTTACTGTAAGAGGGATTTGGTTCCTGACGGTGGCCTGACCAGGCTGCTGTCACCCTGTGCTTCCCTCATCCCTAATCAGTCTTTCAGATTCCCAAAGCGGAGCTAACCTTCTATGATGCCAGTCAAGATGCAGAGACGGGGCCAGGCATGGTGGCTCATGCCTGTAATCCCAGCACTTTGGGAGGCCGAGGAGGGCAGATCACTTGAGGCCAGGAGTTTGAGACCAGCCTGGACAACATGGCAAAACCCTGCCTTCACTAAAAATACAAAAATTAGCTGGGCGTAGTGGTGCATGCCTGTAATCCCAGCTACTTGGAAGGCTGAGGCATGAGAATTGCTTGAACTTGGGAGACAGAAGTTGGACTGAGCCAAGATTACAACACTGCACTCCAGCCTGGGGTACAAAGTGAGTCTTCATCTAAAAAAAAAAAAAAAAAAGATATGGAGATACAGAGCTAGCAACAGAAAACTATGCAACCGAAGAAGCTAAGTCAGAGTTAGAATCATATAAACAGCACAGACTCCCCAGCCCCAGCCCTCGGGCTCAGCCTGGCAGCAAGAACAGCTCATCATTGACACGAGCAGTTGTAGTTAAACACCTGTATACTGGCCCTTGGAGATAAATATATCCAGCCCCTGGGAGATAAATAGCAGCCTGTGTTTTCGGGCTTTTTTTTTTTTGAGATGGAATCTCGCACCACTGCCCAGGCTGGAGGGCAGTGGCGCAGTCTCGGCTCACTGCAACTTCTGCCTCCCAGATTCAAGCGATTCTCCTGCCTCAGCCTCCCAAGTGACTGGGATTACAGGCCCCCACCACCACGCCCAGCTAATTTTTTATATTTTTAATAGAGACAGGGTTTCACCACGTTGGCCAGGCTGGTCTCGAACTCCTGACCTCAGGTGATCTGCCCACCTCAGCCTCCCAAAGTGCTAGGATTACAGGCATGAGCCACTGTGCCCAGCCCAGCCTGGGTTTTTTGTTTGGTTTTGTTTTAGAGACAGGCTCTGGCTGTCACCCAGGCTGGAGTGCAGTGGTGTAATCGCATTCACTGCAGCCTTGAACTCCTGGGCTCAAGCAATCCTCCCACCTCAGCTTCCTGAGTAACAGACTACAGGCACACGCCACCATATCTAGCTGGTTTTTGTAGAGTTGGAGGTCTTGCTATGTTGCCCAGGCTGGTCTCCAACCCCTGTCCTCAAGTGATCCTCCCACCTCAGCCTCCCAAAGGGCTGTGAACACAGGCATGAGCCACCCCGCCTAGCCAAGCAGCCCTGTTTTATGGATGAAGAAACTTGGATTCTGAAATAAAATAATTGCAAGATCCCAGAAACTTTGATTCCACAGTTGTCTGGCTCCCGAATCCACGTGTTTTTGTCTTTCCCACCTTTAGTATTTTATGATGAAAATAGCAAACATACAGAAAAGTTGAAAGGATAATTCAAGGAAACACTCAGGCATCTATCTAAAAAATCTTTTGCTATATTTGCCTTGTCAACCTATCTCTCTACCACCTGACCACCACCACCCCTGCCTCTTTTTTTTTTTTTTTTTTTTTTTTTTGAGATAGTCTTGCTCCGTCGCCAGGCCTGAGTGCAGTGGTGAGATCTCAGCTCACTGCAACCTCCATCTCCTGAGTTCAAGCAATTTTCCTGCCTCAGCCTCTCAAGTAGCTGGGATTACACATGGGCACCACCATGCCCAGCTAATTTTTATATTTTTAGTAGAGACGGGGTTTTACCATGTTGGCTAGGATGGTCTCGATCTCCTGACCTCATGATTCACCCACCTCAGCCTCCCAAAGTGCTGAGAATACAGCCATAAGCTGCCGTGCCCACCCCCGCCACCGCCTTTTTTTTTTTTTTTTTTTTTTTTTTGAGATGGGAGTTTTGCTCTTGTTGTCCAGGCTGAAGTGCAGTGGCACGATCTCGGCTCACTGCAACCTTCACTTCCCAGATTCAAGCTATTCTCCTGCCTCACCCTCCCAAGAAGTTAGGATGACAGGCACGTGTCACCACACCTGGCTCATTTTGTATTTTTAGTTGAGATCGTCTTTCACCATGTTTGGTCAGGCTGGTCTTGAACTCCTGACCTCAAGTGATCCACCTGCCTTGGCTTCCCAAAGTGCTGGGATTGCAAGTGTGAGCAACCACTCCTGGCCTTTCCATCCTATTTTTTATGCAGATTGCACTAGTCCTTGATAGAAGCATGTGGGTGCCTTATACTCACAGATGCATCTTTGCCTCGATACTTAAATTTTCTGAGCCTCTCTTCTGGAGCATCTAAGCTCAGCATATTGGTGGGTAGTAGTAAGTTACCTGCAGGTTGAACAAGAACAAAGATTTTCAGTGCCCATTGTGTAGGTTATTACATCGGTCTTATCAGGTTCTAACCCTTCAAGGGCTCCCAGTGGAGCAGAGGACAGACCCAGTAAGTCAGCACTTTATTGTTTGAGACCAGAGAAGCCGAGTGCAAGTTAGAATCCACATACACAGCACAGACTCCCCATCCCCAGCCCTTGGGCTCAGCCTGGAAGCAAGAACAACAGTCTGGACTTCTCAGTTCCAAGTCCTATGTCGGCAAGGCGTGCTTGTGGGCATCAAGGCCTTACTCTGTTACCTGGGCTGGAGTGCAATGGCACAATCATGGCTCACTGCAACCTTGACCTCCTGGACTCAAGTGATCCACCCATTTTAGCCTCTTGAGTAGCTGGGAGTACAGGCATGAGCCACCACACCTGGCTTGTGTGTGTGTGTATACACACATACACAGTAAGTTGGCGTTTCACCACGTTGCTCAGACTGTTCTTGAACTCCTGAGCTCAAGTGATCCTCCCACCTCAGCCTCCCAAAATGCTGGGATTATAGGCATGAGCCGTCATGCCACACTTGAAGACAGCTCCTATAAGCATTGCCATGCCAGCTCAGTAGGCTGTGAGCACCGTGAAAGCACCAGGACGACCAGCCCTGGGCATTAACAGTGAAGGAAACCTTTTAAAGGTGCTTTGGCTTCAACTAGGTCCTCAACGAGACAGGTAGGCTGGTTGTCATATACAGAAGCCTTTCATGCCAGCTGCAGTGGCTCATGCTATAATTCCAGCACTTTGGGAGGCTGAGGCAGATTAATCACTTGAGGTCAGGAGTTTGAGACCAGCCTGACCAACATGGAGAAACTCCGTCTCTACTAAAGATACAACAATTAGCCAGGCATGGTGGTGGATGCCTACGACTCCAGCTACTTGGGAGGCTGAGGCAGGAGAATCACTTGAAGCCAGGGGGCGGAGATTGCAGTGAGCTGAGATTGCACCACTGTACTCCAGCCTGAGTGACAGAGTGAGACTCCATCTCAAAAAAAAAAAAAAAAAAAAAAAGAAGCCGCCGCCTTTCACAGGGTGTGTCTGAGGAGTTATGAATCAGGCATATATACAGGATGGTGAGGAGCTCCCCCACCCAAAGGCTGCAACAGGAAAATCCTACACTCAACGCACCAGCACAGGGGTCAGGACAGTCTCAGGCACAAGTCACTGAGAATCCTTTAGTAGACTGCCTCCACCCCAATCCAGACCACCATCACCTCACCCACACTATGACCGTTACCTTCTAGCTGGTCTCCCTGCTTCTCCCATTGCCTTATTCCAATCTGTGCTTTGCACAGACCCCACGTGATTGTGGATCACCTGAAGTCAGGAGTTCAAGACCAGCCTGAACAACATGGTGAAACCCCATCTCTACTAAAAACACAAAAAGTAGCTGGGTGTGATGGCAGGCACCTACAGTCCCAGCTACCCAAGAGGCTGAGGAAGGAGAATCACTTGAACCCAGGAGGCAGAGGTTGCAGTGAGCCAAGATCACACCACTGTACTCCAGCCTGGGCAACAGAGTGAGACTCCGTCTCAAAAAAAAAAAAAAAAAAAAAAAAAAAATCTGATTAGCTAGGCACAGTGACTCATGCCTGTAATCCCCATAACTTGAGAGGTTAAGGTGGAGAATTGCTTAATGACAGGTGTTTGAGACCAGTGTTGGAAACAAAGCAAGATGCTGTCTCTACAAAAAATATAAAAACTAGCTTGGCATGGGGCACGTACCTATAGTCCCAGCTACTTGGGAGGCTGAGGTGGGAGGATCGCTTGAGCCCATCAAGTCAGGGCTGCAGTGAGCCATGATTGCACCACTGTACTCCTGCCTGGGTGACAGAGCAAGACCCTGTCAAAAAGAAAAGAAAATGTTCTCTCTGGCCAGGTACAGTAGCTCACGCCTGAAATCGCAGCACTGGGAGGCCAACGTGGACACATTGCTTGAGCCCAGGAGTTGGAGGCTATGGTGAGCCATGATTGCACCACTGCACTGCAGCCTGGACAGCAGAGCAAGACCCTGTCTCCAAAACAAATTTTACAAATAATAAGGCCGGGTACAGTGGCTCACGCCTATATCTGTAATCCTAGCACTTTGGGAGGCCGAGGTGGGCAGATTGCCTGAGCTCAGGAGTTTAAGACCAGCCTGGGCAACACACTGAAACCTAATCTCTATTCAAATACAAAAATTAGCCAGGTGTGGTGGCGTGGGACTGTAGTCTCAGATACTTGGGAGGCTGAGGCAAAAGAATTGCTTGAACCTGGGAGGTGGAGCTTGCAGTGAGCTGAGATTGCGCCACTTCACTTCAGCCTGGGCAACAGAGTGAGACTCTGTCTCAAAAAAAAGAAAAAAGAAAAAAAAAAAAAAGCTGATCTAACTCTCCTGCTTCAAAAAAACTCTCTCCTGGCTACGCATTGAGTTTCAGAGAAAATTCACCTTTCTACGCTGGCCCTCGCCCCCTTCACTTTGAACAACTCTTTCTTGATCATTGTGTTCTAGACCCCTTGATTTCATTATCAAGCCTACAGGCTCATCATACTTGGGTCTTTGAAGGAGCTGCTCCGCCCACGATCTCGGCCCACTTGGCTCCTCTTCATTCAGCCTCTGCTTAAACATCTTCCCAGTCTTATTTTCCCAGTCTTTTATTTTCTTTTCAGCTTTAACCACTGCCTATTTTCTTGTTTGTCCATCTTCCCTCCCCCCACGACAAGACCATGTATGTCTTAGGCAGGGATTTCTAACCTCTTTCACAATACATGACAAAGTAGGTACTCAAATATTTGTCAAGGGAGGGTGGTGCGGAATAAGGGACGGGAGTTGACCTTCAATTAGAGGTGGTTTTCAAATCAAACCAAGTCTGAGCTTTTCTTTTCTTTTCTTTTTTTTTTTTTTTTGAGACGGAGTTTCGCTCTTGTTACCCAGGCTGGAGTGCAATGGCGTAATCTCGGCTCACCGCAACCTCCGCCTCCTGGGTTCAGGCAATTCTCCTGCCTCAGCCTCCTGAGTAGCTGGGATTACAGGCACGCACCACCACGCCCAGCTAGTTTTTTGTATTTTTAGTAGAGACGGGGTTTCACCATGTTGACCAGGATGGTCTCGATCTCTCGACCTCGTGATCCACTCGCCTCGGCCTCCCAAAGTGCTGGGATTACAGGCTTGAGCCACCACGCCCGGCCTCTTTTCTTAATTAGAAAGAGTTTGCTTTTGTGTTTTTGTTTTGTTTTTGAGAAAGGGTCTAGCTCTATTGCCCAGGCTAGAGTAAAATAAATAGTGTGATCATGGCTCACTGTAGCCTCAACCTCTTGAGCTCAAGTGATCCTCCTGCCTCAGCCTTTCGAGTAGCTAGGACTACAGGCTCAAGCTAGCATGGCTGGCTAATTTGCATTTTTTGTAGAGATAGGATCTCACTATGTTGCCCAGACTGGTTTCAAACTCCTGGGCTCAAGCAATCTCCCACTCAACCTCCCAGGCATGAACCACTGCACCTGGCCCCAAGTTTGAATGTTCACAAGGCAGCTGGCAATATTTCTTGTAGGTATGCAATGAATATTCATCTGTTTCTGAGCATACAAGACGGTCCAGGCTATATTATATAAAAGAGAAAACTGGATAAAGAAGTCAATTGACTCTAGTCTTCAGTGACTAGCAGCCAAGAATAATTTTGGTAGAAAAGACTAATTCAGACATATCAATTTGAATGGGACAGTGTAGACAACTTGGAGATTTACATCAGAGAATTTAGAGCCAGCCAGGTGCAGTGGCTAATCCCAGCACTTTGGGAGGCCAAAGCAGGTGGATCACCTGAGGTCAGGAGTTCGAGACCAACCTGGCCAACATGGTGAAGCCCTGTCTCTACTAAAAATATAAAAATTAGCCAGGTATGGTGGCAGGTGCCTATAATTCAAGCTACTTGGGAGGCTGAGGCAGGAGAATCGCTTGAACCTGTGAGGCTGAGGTTGCAGTGAGCCATTGCACTCCAGCCTGGGCAACAGAGTAAGACTGTCTCAGAAAAAAAGAAAGAAAGAATTTAGAGCCAAGACTGTTGTTGTAAGAAGACAGACAAGCTCTATGTGAGATCAGAACAAGGATTGAGTATTAGGGATGCTCACATTAGGACCTAAGAGAATGCAGAATTATCAAAAAACCAGGAGGAAGAAGGGGATCGGAGACAGAACAACAAAGTTACTGTCAGAGGCACTGCCGGTAACAGCAGCCACCGCCCCAGGGACAAGTCCCTAAACCGAAGCTCCAGCCACCCACAGCAAGACAGGAACTGCAGGAGAGCACATCAGCTGAGCCTCAGAGCAGAGGAAACCAAAAGCCCACACCATCTCTCTGGGTTTCAGATCCTCATTGCTCTGCCTGCCTTAAAGCATTAGCTTCCTCCAAAGCCTGGGCAAGAATAGCCTATACCTGCAAATCTGATCATGGGAAATGCCAATTCGTTCCTGGAATTGACCAATCTCTCTCTCTCTCCGATCTCAAAGCCAGAAAGGTGGAGAGTGACAACTGGTTTAAACATTCACAAAGCTCTCAATCATGGTGAGTCACGCTGACCTCTTCCCCAGCCACTGTGGACCAAGGGACCTCAGCGAATCCAGAGTCCTTTGGTTGCTGTCCAAGGAGCCCTCACAGAAGTTGGCTTAAGACAATCTCAGGCTTTAGATTCCTTCAATACAACTTCAAGCTCAAGGTAGCTTTACTCCTAGCAACATATTTGAACTCAGTACATCTGGGAAGGGAAGAGAACTGCATTGTAAGACAGCCTCAGCACTGGAGCTTAGGCTAGGAAACACCAGTGTCTGACACTTTCATCTGTGTGTGTTTTTTTTTTTTTTTTTTTTGGAGATAGAGTTTCATTCTCGTTGCCTAGGCTGGAGTACAGTGGTGCAGTCTCGGCTCACTGCAAGACGGTCCAGGCTATATTATATAAAAGAGGTTGAACTGCAACCTCCACCTCCCAGTTC